GAATTCCTAACGGCCCTTCTCTTTTTATTTTGCCCAACTCTTCTGACGATCTTGTAGCTGCTTTAAGTCTCTCTTTATCACCTTGACTTTTCTTACAGTCAGTTGCACCATTTCTGCCCTAGGAGTTTTCTTTCCCGCAACATCATCCTAGCATAAAGGGGATCTACCACTTCTACCATACAAGCCTCAAAAGGAAGCCATCCCAATACTAGATGGTAATTATTATTAATAACAACCCGCTAAAGGTAAATAATCATCCCAACTACCGTTTAAATCAATCACACATGCCTCGAGCCATTCTTCTAAAATCTGATTTGTGTCTCTCTGTTGCCCATCGTCTGAGGGTAGAAAGGCTATACTCAATTTCAAATTTGTCCTCATAGCTCGCTGTAAGCTTACCCAAAACTTAGAAACAAATCTAGAATCTCTATCTGACACAATACTCACTGAAACTCCTTGCAATCGGATAATTTCACCTGTGTACAATTGTGCTAGTTTATCAAGTGGAGTAGTCGACTTGATAGATAAAAAATGAACTGATTTAGTGAGTCTATCAACAATTACCCACACTGCATTATTCCCTTTAGATGACCTAGGCAACCCCATCACGAAATCCATAGAGATGTGCTCCCACTTCCATTCCGGTATCTCCAAAGGTTGTAACAACCCTGATGGTCTTTGGTGTTCAGTCTTAACTTGCTGACACACTAGACATTGGGACACAAACTGAGCTATGTCACGTTTCATATTATTCCACCAAAAACTTTCTTTCAAATCTTTATACATCTTAGTACCTCCAGGATGTATAGTGAATCGAAAGCCATGTGCTTCCTCCAAGATCTCTCGTTTTAGATCAAGATCATTTGGTACACACAATCTATTTCTAAAACGTAATGTGCCATCCTTGTGAAGATTAAACTCTGACCGTAAACCATTTTGCACTTTTGTCTTAATTCTGTCTAACTCACTATCTTCTTTCTGTGCAAATTTTATCTTTTCGATCAAAGTTGGTTGAACCACCAAACTAGCCATAACAACACCTTTTCCCTGTATAATCACCTCGATTTGCTGCATATCAAGTTCTTCCAACAATTTTGGTTGCAAAGTAAGTAAAGCAGCCATACTTCCAATGGACTTTTTACTAAGAGCATCAGCAACTACATTAGCTTTGCCCGGATGATAATTGATGGTCAAATTATAATCTTTGATTAATTCCAACCATCTTCTCTGTCTCATGTTCAACTCTTTCTATGTAAACAGATACTTTAAACTCTTATGATCCGTATAAATTGCACAAGGTTCCCTATACAAATAATGTCTCCATATTTTCAAAGCAAACACAATGGCAGCTAACTCTAAGTCATGAGTCGGATAATTCTGCTCGTAGGTTTTTAATTGCCTAGAAGCATAAGCAATTACCCTTTCATTCTGCATTAACACACAACCTAACCCCTTCTTAGAAGCATCACTATAAATGGTAAAACTACCAATATCAGAAGGTAAAGTAAGGATAGGTGCCGACACCAATCGTTGCTTTAGCTCTTGAAAACTCTGTTCACATTCTTTAGTCCATTCAAATTTTGCTCGCTTTTGAGTTAAACGAGTCAATGGCACAGCAATTTGAGAAAATCCCTCAACAAATCTTCTATAATAACCTGCCAAGCCTATAAAACTTCTTACTTCTGTCACATTTGTCGGGCGAGGCCAATTCACCACTGCCTCAATCTTTTTCGGATCAACTGAAATCCCATCTTCAGAAATAACATGACCAAGAAAACTAATACTTGCCAACCAAAATTCACATTTGCTAAACTTTGCAAAGAGTTGTTTATCCCGCAAGATCTGTAATACAATCCTCAAATATTTCTCATGTTCCTCATCACTCTTAGAATAAACCAGAATGTCATCAATAAAAACAACAACAAATTGATCCAGATACTGTTTAAAAATTCTATTCATCAAGTCCATGAATGCAGCAGGTGCATTTGTTAATCCAAAAGGCATAACCAAAAATTCATAATGGCCATACCTAGTTCGAAAAGCAGTCTTGGATACATCACCTGTCTTAATCTTCAACTGATGATATCTAGACCGTAAATCAATCTTTGAAAAAAACCTTTACTCCTTGTAACTGATCAAACAAGTCATCAATTCGAGGAAGAGGATATTTGTTCTTCACAGTCACTTTATTTAACTCCCTATAATCAATGCATAAGCGCAGACTCCCATCTTTCTTTTTAACAAACAATACAGGAGCTCCCCAAGGTGACACATTAGGACGAATAAACTTTTTCTCTAACAGTTCTTGGAGTTGCACCTTTAATTCATGTAACTCAGATGGAGCCATGCGATAAGGAGGCTTAGATATTGGTCCAGTTCCAGAGATAAGATCGATTTCAAATTCAATTTCCCGATTAGGAGGTAAGCCAGGCAAGTCCTCAGGAAAAACATCAAAAAAATCTCTAACAATCGAAATATCTTCTAATCGTGAGCCTACATTCATTTGAGTGTCTTTCACATAGGCGAGGTAGCCTAGACACCCTTTTTTTAGAGATTGCATGGCACTTGAGATCGACACAATCTGACACGGAAGGCTTAAATGATGACCTTCCCCTATCAGTTCTTTCCTTCGACCCACAAGATCTGCCAATGTCTCATTTCTACCACTCATTCTTACCAATTTAATACCAACAAAGAAAAAAAAATTCATAAGCGATCAAAATAAAATAATCGAATCTTATCAGTGTAAATGCTAAGAATACTTAAGTTTTACACTATCTATAACTCAATTCTTTCCTTTCTTGGATCTTAAACCTTCGCTCTGATACCAATTTTGTCACGCCCCGAATCGAGACATAACACGGCCATATTACCTTGAAGTAAAACCCCAAAGCAATACGAAGCCTAATCCATAACCATTGAACAACTCTCAAATATAAAATATTGTCATTAAGTAACATAGCTAGATAACAAGTCTCCAAAGATTCAAAGTAGAGTATTACAACTAAAATAAACAATACTTCATAAAATCCTATATTTCTAAGTAGTTCTCCAATGCTCGATTCTTCTAGCTTTTCTCAAGCGAATCATACTTATCATTCATAACATCTGTAAAAGAAAAGAAAATAGGGAATGAGCAAACCACAGCTCAGTAAGTAAAGGCTCACACACCTTACCGGATCAAATATCGTTTCATACATGTCATATAGATCATTCAAAAGATTCGTTAAATCATAATGTCAAAACATCTCAATATCATCGTTCTGTCAAACATTTCATAAATTCATAAATCATTGTAAAATATGTTATCATTCAAATATCGTAATCAAACCAAATCATGGATCAATCATAAAAAAAAATCATCGTAAATCATCATCATTCAAATCGTTAGCTACGGTCACTGCTATAACCCGTGACATTGGCCGTATCGACAATTTCATTCTCATGATCATTGCTAACTATTATAACCCGTTAGCCAGGGTCGTATGATCATGTCTTTGCTAACTACTATTACCCGTTAGCCAGGGTCGTAGAACTAGTTCTGGTGTCGATGATCTCACTTTCCAGGGATGTAAAAAAACGTAGCCATCACAAAATCATTCTTTAATCATAAATCATTTTCTCATTTCATTCATAAGCATGATCCATCATTTATATAGAGAAACACAAAATAATCATATGTTTGATCCTATTTTCATACATCGAAAATAAAGAAATAAAACATTATTTCATTTAGAAACACATATATATATATATTCATAGATTCGAAAACAAGCAAAGTGTGTGAGATTCTACTTACCTTCTTCTGATTCCACCACCTAATTTTTCTCCCTCAAAATTTAGTGGCCTATTCAAGATAATTTCAACATAACAATAATTAATCAACCCATTTGAGGCCACTTATACCAAAACAATTAAGTTAAACAAGTAATAACTCGAGTAATTAATTCTGGCAGTCTGCTCTACTTTCACTAAAACGACCATAACTCAATATATCCAATTCGGAATTAAAATCTTATTAATGCGTTAGAAACTAGACTTGACAAGCTTTCTAACCATATATGGCTCATCTCGTGATTCTTTGTGGATTAATTATAACAATTTTTGTAATCCACGTCATATGCTGCTGCCAGACAGTATGTATACCTTTTCATAAAAAAATACGTATTTATTCATAGGTAACTCCAAATTCAATTTCTCTTATTTCATTGGAAAGTAGACTCGATAAGCTTTCCAAACATATATGGGTTAAACTGTAAATCCTTGTATAAAAATTTAGGGAAATTTCGTAATTCCCCCTTACTGCTGCTACTAGGCAGCCTGCACCTCCTTAGATAAAAATTGGATAACTCTTCATAGAGAACTCGAATTCGACTCCCATTTGTTTCATTAGAAAGTAGATTCAACATGCTTTCCAATCATATATAGTGATCATAGTAGTATTTAACCTTTAATACAGAATATAACCTTAATTCATCACTACAAACACATGATTCATATCAGGATTTATACGAAACAAAGATTTTCCTTTCTATTCCCATCAAATTTCTGTTTCAGCAATAAATTCACATTACCAACTTTCTCAACACTTAACTTGACTCTAATTAAAGTCTAAATCATCTGCCCAAAGAGGGATAATGGAAACCCTAAAATTTTAGGGTTTCTCGATTATAATTTATACCTTAAGACTTAACCATCAATACTCCAAAAATTGAAAAAGATTATTTACTCACCTCTAATAGATAATTTCTCCTTGTAGATTTGTTCTTCCCTTCACTTGGAATCCTTCAATTGATCTTTTCTGTATAAGAAACATATGAGAAATAAATTTCTGTTTTTATTACGACTAATCGTCGACTGAAAACTGAAAAGTTAACTCTATTAATAAAAAAAATTGGGTTATTTATCAATAAGTCCTCTGCACTTCTCATTCTTTATTAAAGAGTCCCCCTACTTATAAAAATACTTAAAATAATCCTTTTTTTTTTTCGGGTATTACAGTTTGTCTTTGCATTATCAACTCTCTTGCTCTTTCTGTAGCAAGTAAATTCCAATCATCATACAATATCTAACAAAAATTTCTAAAATCTTTTACAGAACTTTGACCACAATTGATCACATGTACTCAGGAATTCAATAAATGCGCAACTGTATAATAACTGCATCGCTTCTCCATCAGAAGACTTTAAGCAAAATAAAAGAATAGAGACAACTATTATCTGATCCTACCAATAATATACCATTTGAACTTACCATTTAATAAATCATGTTGGTCCATATGAGCTTCATCCTCTCACACTCTCCAACTATGAGTCTACCAACTAGTTACAATATCAAAATGTAAGCAAATAATAGCAACATAAAACTGTAAACTTCATGCTTTTATCAGAAATAAAAACATTTCTGAAGTTTACTTAGTTCAGACTCTAATGTTTTTGACAGAAATAAATCATCTCCACAATAGATTGCATAAGATTGTTTACCATCTATATAAATATTACAAGCATTCCTTTTACCTTTCAGTGTTTGCACAGGTTGGAACCATTAACCATGGTTTTAAATATTATCAACTGACTATTAATAAAATAACAAACTCAACCCTAGCTAGGATTATCATTGCCCATATTTTCCTAATAGTCAGGTTGTCTCCAATCCATTGCCTAAAAGTACTTTACATAACAGAACTAGTATGTACCATCCTTCTCACTAATTGCATTTGATCAGCTACTTGGAATAAGAAGGTATGCGTTGTGGAATGCAATATATTCTTGCAAGAAAGAAAGATGTTGATATCCAAAGAACTATGCAATTACTACAACAACCAGACAGCAAGATCAGTATTTGTAAAACTTTAGTTGGAGCTACTCTTTTACAATCAAAGGCCCAACCTTCACAATTACAACTAACATCATTAAGCAACTGTAAGATATATGTGTGAATGTCATGACAAAGATGAAGCGATGCAACTGCTCATGACCTTCATATGAAACAAATGGCTCATGACCCTGCAGAACAGAATAGTTTCAAGATGGTAGATCACTGAAGTGTTAAAGTACTTGTATATATAATTAAATATTTAGAGAATATGATCATATAGAAATATATTCAATAGCCAAAAAAAGAAAAGAATGTAAAATAGAAGAATTTAGAGTCAAGATATGGATTTGTTACATGCCTCTTTGCAGGTATTTTGATTCATGCCATTCAACATTCTCCTAAATAAGTGAAAACCAGAAGCCATCAAAAGCTTACGCTCCTTCAAAGAATCATCTTCAAGTTCTTCATAAATCTCAGACCTGTTGCACGGAGCAAAGGTACTATCATAGAACTTTGATGGAATGCAAATACTGGTTATTGTGCTTGAGGTTGCTGTTAGAAGAAGTGATATGAATCCAAGCAACATTAACTCTGAAGATCGAAGTCCAAATAAAGCAATCATAAATATGACAGACAAAAAGAAAGGTAACTGAAGTTAGATTATGAAAAATTATTGGTCAACACTGAATCAGGAAATATAATCAGTTGCAGGTAGAAATGTATGGAAATACCTTCCTTCATCTTCTCCACAGCTGCAAGCAGAAGTTTTCTATTAGTTTTCCTTAATCACTGAAACAAAATAATAAAAATTCATAAGATGTTATCTTTAAAATTTTAAGCATACCGAGGAACCCCATTACCAGAAGAAATTCTATTTAGCAGTCCAGAGATACAATTTTATCATTCGGAATTATATTAAGTTCTACCTGAAATCTCTAGTGTGAATGTGTTTTGTCAGTGTAAGGTACGTTTTTAGTCAATGGAAAGCTTAAAGAAGAACAATTTGATGCAAAAAGGGGTAGCAAAAACTCCTAGAGAGTCAAGAAAATTGCTTCATATAATGACCAAATGACCATGCTATGTTCATATCTAACAAGTTTGAACCTGCTCTTGCCCACACATAATCTCTTAAAACCTATAAATTACGAACAACACCAGTATTCTTGGTAGAAGAAAAATGTTTTCAAATTTAAAGCAAAAATAAGTTGAAAATGATATAAATACCGTCCTAGCTAGAAGTGTTCATTGGCAAGAGCATCAATGTCCACAGTTGTTAAGTTTGTATCACATTTAAAAAGCATCCTACTCAATTTCTTTCCAACAAAACAAAACATAATTGCAAAGCATGTATCTGTCAACAAAAGGATAGCAAGAAGATGAAAATTCATAGACCCCACAAATCACATTGGTTTTGCAATGAATTGGGAAATTCAGAATCAAAGAAACTACGACAAAGCTTTGTCCACACATAATTATTAACCACTTAAAGACCAATTATGAGCTACCAGAAAAAGAGTTTGTCATCGAATCAAAAAAAAAATTATCAATTTTAAACCAAACAGAATTTCATTTTCCAAAATAATTATTGATAGTGGATAATTCTTAGACTACACTAATCCTACATACCATAAGAACAAAAAACCAACATCTAAGATTTTCGACTTCAAGAACAAGAAACAAAAATTTCCTGTCTTAACAATTTATCCCACCAAATCTTCAAAAACAACTATTGTAACACTGATCTTAGGCTAACTAATCTTACATCACATCAACATAAAACCAACAAACTATGATCTTTAACTTCAAGAACAAGGCGAAATTTTCCCGTCTCTTAAAACTTATCCCTCCAAATCTTCAACATTTTTCAACACTCTCTTAAACTACAGCATACGAACACTTCAGAACTAGGATATAAGCCAAATATATATATATATATATATATATATGGGTGCTTCTCATTTCAACTTAAAACAACCAAAATACAATAAACAAAAGTTTTTAGACAAAACCCAAGTTTTAGCATAAATCAAGGTAGAAGCTTGTTTAGAGTTGAGTCTGAGAAAACGCCATAAACGCGGCATTTGGTGGCGATTTCTCAGCCTTTTCTTTTATGCAATAGTAAAGTCTGATCCAGGCAGCATACAACGAGGAATTAAAACCACCCTTATAAACCAAGAAAACCAAAAACTTTAAAGACAGTTAATATTTTCAACAGCTTTTTGCCTCAAAAATATTCAAAACTTCTTCTGTCTTAATTCTGAACTCTCTTTCTGTAATAAATGTTCAATTTTTCAGCTTTCTTTTAAGACCAGAACAAGAAGAAAGAAAGAAAGAGATGAACAATGGAAGAGAAGGGCAGAGCACATGAATCTTGAAGAACCTAGATTTCACAGTTATATCAGATCTATTTTTCTAGCAAAAAAATAACAAATTTTCAATGAACTTCAAAAACCCAAAGTGAAAATTAGGTAAATTTACCAAAAAAAAACCATTAGAAATTTTTTGGGGAGAAAAATTGAATGAAGAGGTGGCAAATGGGGCAATGCTAATTGCACATGGACCGACCAGGAGAGATTTTTCTGTTCAATTTTTCTTTTTTTGTTTTATCTTTTATAATTATCATTTTACCCATAAAAAAGCTGATTGCTTTCCATCAAGCAGTCCCTCACCATTTTAAAACGTATGGCTCTTGACAAGTAACGCACACAAAAATAGATCTAGAACATTTTATTACCGTTCACCCGACTTCCCTCATCTAAAACTCTATATTATATTAACTGTAAAAATATCCAAAATTTAATTTAAATAATCCAAAATTATCCTTCAAATAAAAAAAAAAAAAAGAACTCAAATTACAACAAACAAGCCACACTACAAAAAAGAGCCTTTCATCTCCCTCCCAAACAAAATGTCTATGATTCATCGGAGCTAGTACCTCCAACCTCATCATCAGAGGCTCCAGCTTCACCTTCGATTTCACCGGTAGGGAGCTGGTCGCCTGCCTCACCGGCGAGTTCATTCTCACTGAAGAGATCCGTCTTAACAGGTACACTTTTCTGCTGCTGGAACAACATAACATTTGCAATGGCTTTAAGAGCAGCATCGGCCTGATTATTATCAGCCACAGCATCCTTGTCTATCCCATGCACAGTGGGTTCCTTTAAAGAATCATCAGCTTCTTGTCTGGGAGGAGGGACAAAGAAGGGTATTCTACCCCTTTGCCAGTCATGAAGAATCATCTTTGCTCCAGTCGTCAAATCAGGTTCTCCACCCTACACATAAGCCATTTACAAGAACACACCCGATTAAATGTTATAACTTAGCTTTTCTGCACAAAACTTTTCTCTATAATCGTATACTACAGTTAAAACTAAATGAGGCTTGAAGCCAATGTTAAAATGTACCTTCAAAAGTTTACCGGTTGATTGGCATAGCTGGACTAAGAAGTCATTTTCATCTTCCCTGACAACAGCAGAACAATAAATATGGTTAACGAATTGCAACTCTTTCATTGTTATATGATTATATCTTTTAAGAGTAGCCAATTGGCACAATACTACAGGCAAATGCCACAAGGGAGGCCATCTTCCTATTAAAAGGCTTGCACATGCACCCTAGATAAAAGTAAAAAAAAAAAAAAATGAGGAAAAATGCATAACAATTCTTTATTTCTTTTCACTCGATGTGATTACAAATACTACAATAAAAGAGAATACCATATGAACAAAAACATGAGAAATCTTAAGGACATATGACAACTTTTCCATAAATTAGTTATAAGGCTCCTTAATAATGGCTACAAAATAGCTCACCAGTCCTTTATTTTGTATGCTCTTTTCAAGTGCTCCTTCTTGACACGCTTTAAAACTTCTCCAATGTGCTCAGCAGCATCCTCTAGGTTCGTGACACGTACCTTGAAAAGCCAAGAGTTTGATACTTAGATATGCATAAGAATAGCACAAATCTAATAAACATCTCCCAGTAAAGTTACCATGCAAAAGAAGGAAAGAAACTTCAAGGAGATAAAATGAGGCAGGTACAGCTCATGTTATTTGCAAATCTTGGCTCATAACTCAAGTATATAGGTATATTATATAGAAGATAAGAACATTGTAACTTCAACAAGATAAGTGAAGTTCAATATCTGATCTAATCAACTTCTTAATTCCCAAGTTCATTGAAAAAATTTTCAAGTTAATCAAACACTAAATATCATGATAAACCTAAATGCTGCAAGCCTGTATCATTAAAAATAAATGTCAAGACTCTTTCTTTGGCATGCGAACTAACCAACAATTACAGGGGATTAAGCCATTGGCTCACTCATCTATTATTAATAACAATGAACAAATCAAATACACATTAAATTAGAATAAAAAAATTTTAATGAACCTAAGTCTAGGTCAACAGCGGGTAAATTCACTTTCACCATGAATATAGCATGGGATGAGCCATACAACCCAATGTAAATAAATAATACACCAGAAAACACGGAATGTTGAAGGACAAAAAATAACAGCAATTTGACATAAAGAACATACCACACCCTTCAGCACAATATCTGTTTCTGAGTCACTGTTCTGATAAACGACCCCAGGGCAGTCAATTAAGTAAATCCTTTTAGTGAGTGTTATATATTGCCACACCTTAGTCTCCCCTGGAATTGGAGCAACTTTGCAAACCTTTAGAAAATTGAAGCAAACAAATTCAAAAAGCAGAACTAAAGTACCGTACATACACACATATATATGAATTAAGTAATACAGTGAGAACATTATTTACACCCCAATACCACATTATAAACTATCCTTCTATCAGAAAAGAAAAAATCTTTAGTATGAATGCCTGCAAGATTAAAGATTTCAATGTGCCACAAATGAAAATGTGATTAATGTTCTAGATTAAGAAAGGGGCAGTGACGATAAGAGGTCAGGTACATAGCTGAAAATAAGTTAAGGAATTTAAAATAAGTATATGCCCCTAAGAACATGTAAATACATATCAATATTACCAAAATACTGGACTAACAAAGAATAGAGTACAAGTACATCAAATAAAAGAAGGAAACAGGAGAACAAAAATATTACATTTTTTGTGCGGAGTGTGTTGATAACTGAAGACTTGCCAACGTTGGGATACCCAATAAATCCGACGGATATCGCTTGCTTGTCACTTTTTAAGCGGGCAAATTGTCTCAGTACTGATAAAAGAGAACCCTACATTTGATGGAAATAAAATTTGATAGACATTCCAAAAGAAAAATCTAAAAATAAATAAACATGGATGGTTACCAAAACAAAGAAAAACAAAAAACGATTGGAAATCAATATTCATAGCTTTACAAAAACTTAAGATAGACTAGGTTTTTGCTCAAAGTGCACCTAGATAACAACCAAAACACCTAAAGATGTTGCAATCAATAGATATGTAAGAGCTCAAGAGGTAAGATAAATTGGAGAATTTTATGTCCTGATAAAATATTAAGATATTCAAAAGTAAAATGCCAGGCATAAGTTGGAGGGGAAGGTAATGCTATAAATTATAGCATAATGTAAGATGACATGAAAATATGGAACCAAAGGAGATGAAGGTGTAAGAACGTTTTCATTTACATTCTAAATCGAACAAAAATATGAAATAAATTAGAGGTACCTTGCCAAAAGACTTGTTAATGCTTGCATGGAATGCTAGACTTGGATATTCCTTGGATAAAACTCTAAGCCACCCTTTTGTAGCCCAAGCAGGAACAAGATCACACTGAAAATAGGTATTACCAGTGTTTACAAGCAGCTTTGCAGAAAACATCTTACAAAATAACAAGAATCTTAGAGAAAATTCAAAACGAAATGCAACTAACCTTGTTTAACAGAAGAATCATGTGTTTATGCTTGCAATGCTCTTTCAAATGCCTCTCTAAATGATGACATCTTGTACCCTGAGGGTCCCTAGCATCCAAAACCTGTAATGCAAAAGAAAATTAAAACAAAAAAAGATGAAATGGAATTTCTCAATTCTTAGAATATTGCTTCCTCTTAAAGCAGGGGACAAGAAGTATTGTGTCTGACATATATACATTTGAAATTTTCTCCTTTTTTTTAAAGGATCATATCTTTATGTCCAGCTCTACATTCGAAGTGTTTGATATGTTTCAGACATACGTCAGGAAAATGAAGAGTTAGAGTAAACATTGGTAAATTTTCCTGGAATTTGCAGTCATAGAAACAGTTTCAGTCAATTAATAAAGCTAGCAAGAAAGAACAGAAAACTATAATGTCATAAAAAATGATAAAAGATGGGTTAACATCTTATTCTTTTTTACAGAGATCAAAGACTAAGCAATAGAAGATAGACTGACCTGTACAACAACATCTGATGAGTCTATAACTTTGTAGAGTTCACCCCATATACGTTTACTTTGACCCTTCTCAAACATTGTATGTCGAACTAGGTCACGGAATCCATCTCCCTCACCTGCTTCTGCAGAAGTAGAGGCACCGTGCTTCTGTCCAAACGCATCTGCAGAGTTAATATAACAAAATGTGAAACACAAATATAAGCTTCAATATTGTGCTCCAATAGAACTTGGCAACAACTGCTTGTCCTATAAATAGATGCACTTTAAGACCAATGTGACCCTAGCTTCCACCTTCAGCCTCCCATCCTTGAATAAAAATAATAGCAATAACGTACCTTGGGAACCATCTGCTTTCTTAACTAAAGACTCGTAATCCACAGCTAGGAGCTTTGGGCGCTTCCTCTTCCTCTTAGGTCCAAACGCATCCGCAAAAGGCTCAGTGTCAAGAAGATGAGCTCTAGCTTGCTTCATAGATATACATTTTATCAACATACACAACAGAATTAGAGATACACTTTTAACTCAAAGGGCAAAGCAAATTTCAAAATCCAAATGCCAGAAATATTCACTTTCAAAGAATTCATACCTTTGAATTGTCCTTTAAGAGAGACAATGGCAGCTTCTTCTCCTTCAAAATGACATTATAATTGCTCGACATCCGGCTTTGAAGCTCTTCTCGGAAAAATTCTAGCTCTTTCTGATTCACAACTCGGGTATTCCCTGTAAACAGAAAGCAATAATGGCCCTATGTAAGCTTCAAACAACACAAACAAAACTCAAGCCAATTAATGAATGAAGTAAAACTTCACTATTGCTCTTTTTTCCAATAGTTTTTTTTTTTTTCTTTTTATTTGCTTTTTACTTCCTCAAAAGTTACTAAAAATGTAAAAGAAAAAGCAATAAACTTTATTCGATTAAAAAGGAAAAGATAATTTTTCTGTTACACTAAAATGCAGTATTTTATTATCCACAAAAATTTTCAATTATTCAAAAACAATAATTTTCTTATATATCCAACTTCTAGAAAAAAAAAAAGTCAAGCAATTAGCAAAATTAACATCCAAACGGGTCTAAATTAAATAAAAAAAAAGTGCTTTTTCAAGCTTACCAAACCAGCGACGATCCGGTTGGATACGGGTATTGGGCAATTCTTTAGACTGAAACTCATGGCTCAAGATTTTCCCTTTATTATCACGTTTGGGCCGTGTGTCGTACATCTTGAGACGGCGCACGGTGGCAGCGCTTCTCGAATCTTTGTTCTTCCCATCGCTGCGGTTCACGTCTAGCGAGTGCTTTGGTTTACCCGACACGTTTACTTTCCTCTCCTTGTTCTTCTTCGCCATTGTTCTTCTGGTTTGGTTGAAAAAACGAGAGATTTGTGTGGTTCAGTGTGTTCGGCTGCCGAGAAACTGTAGGAAATTGTGCAATGGAAGTGGCTGCGGTTGCTGGAAGAATGCAACTTTATTTCTAGGGCTTATAAGGCGGCAAGAAATTGGGTATTTGCATAGTTGGATCCGTTTTTAATTGGGTGGGCTTAGGTCCGGTTAATACTTAATAACATCACCGACAATTATTTTCAGGTCAACTAAAAAAGCAATATATTTTTCTTAATAATTTCAAAAATATTTTTTAATATCTAATATTACTAATTTTATTTGTGATCTATTATCAGTATGATTTAAAAATACAACTTTGTTGGTCTATTTTAGTTATATTTTTTTTATCTAACATTAGAGATATATTTATATTATTAATAAAGTATTTTGATTAAATTTGATATCACAAATTAAATAATAATTAATAAAAATTTATCAAAAATTAAATATAAAATAATAACAAAATATCAAAAAATCAATACCTATTGATCCGAATGATTAAAGAGCTCAATTTTCCTTAAATTAATGTCTTAGTTTTAAGTATTATGAAAAGAAAAAACAGATCTTAGAGAAAATTTATCTCTCTTATTGATCAAACTTAATTTAATTCTAAATTAATTAAGATTTAAAGTGATTATCAAATACGAAAATATTTTAAACAAAAAAATATATAAAAATAAAACTAGTAAAAGAAAATATCTATAAAACTATAACTTATTTTTTTTTTAATCATGCATTCAATTCAATAATAGTTGCATTGATGTTTAAATACTTAAATCTTAGTAACATTAAGAATTTTAGACTAATTTCTTGTTGTTCTATTATCTATTATCTATAAATGCCTTGCTAGGATTTTAGCAAACAGGTGGAAGAGGTTACCATAAGGAATTACTAGTAACAATTAGAGTGTCTTTATAGAGGTTTGAGAAAAACAAATAATGTTCTTATGCGATAAGAGATGATGAGGGGATATAAAAGAACAACATTGCCAGCAAGGTATGCTATCAATCAAGATTGATCTCCAGAAGGTTTTTGATTCGTTGGATTAGGATTTATCATTGCAGCTTCATTAATCGTGGGACTGTCCGAAATTTCGTAAGTTGGGTGAAGAGCTGCATTACCATCCATTTTTCTCTTTCACTCAACGGAGGTTTAGTAGATTATTATCAAAGAGCTAGAGAAATTAGATAAGAATAGGAGTGTAATCAAGTCAAGTTGAATTGAATAGTGAGAAGTTCGAACTTGAGTTCAACTCATAATTTGGGATTTGATATTCGGTTCGAACTCAATCGAGTTTTATTTTTTAAGCTCGAATTCGAGCTATTCAAGCTCGCTCGATTAATATGTAAAAATAAGTTTGATTCGTATACTCGATAATAATTCGATTATTCATGCTCGAACTCAAACTCAGACTCGAAATATTTTATTAATTAAAATAATAAAAAGATATTCAAATATAAAAGCTCAATTAGGCTCGCGAGCTACTCGAGTCGGATATAAGAATATTCAAATTCGGTTCGATCGATAAATCGAGTTACTCGAGCTCCACTCGATAATAATCAAATCGAATTAGAATTTTCTTCGTATCGAACTCGAATAATTTACGAGTACTAATATATCATTTATATCTCAGGAAGACTTTCTTTTCGCTTATTTATAATATCATTTTAATTTATTTTATATGTATCAAACATGACTTAAAGAGAATTATGTTAGATTTGGGTAAATAAAAATTACAATTTATTCAAAAAAATTATTTATATCCTTTTATATAAATTATTTTTTCACATGTATTATTGTGTTTTTTTTTAAAAAAAAACCATCACTTATTTCACTTTAAAAAATAACTATCTACTTAAAAAAAATTACTCACTGTTTTTGTATATTAAATTATTAATTTCTTTCAAAATATAGTCTTTCTTTTTTTAAAAAATATATTTTTTTATAAACATGGTGAGTGTGCTCGATTCTAATGTTATTATAAACCCATATTTTTCTAAATTTTGACAATAATCTTTCCTCTAATATATATAAATGAGAATATTTTTCATAACTAATTTCATTCGACATTAAAATTTGCAGAGAGAAAATTTTTTATTTTATAAACATCAACTTTTTATTTTAATTTAAAAATATGACTAAGATTTTAGATTTTAACTAAAATATTTTTTTATTAAAAATTCGTTTATGATTTTGTAATGCTAAGATTATAAAAACAGCAATTTGTTCATTTATTAATTATCCTTTTTATATTTTCCTATTTTCTCATTATTTTATCCAAATAAAAAAATGAAAATAACTTTGTTTTCTATTTTAAAAAAAAAAAATCCGACAAGACGTTGGAACCAAAACCAGATCAGGATTTTCCCACTTCCTCAGTTGCTCTCCTTTATTACAACGTAAGACAAAAGAAAAGACCAGGCGGATCTGAAAGCCAAACAAGTGCTCCCTCCATGTCTTGATCCATTCATGTCTTAACAAACAAAATGGAACGGTTGCTCAAAGCTGCAAGAACTTCCGGTTCGCTCAACTTATCCAATCGATCTCTCAAGTAATTCCATTTCTACCGCAGATAATTTCCTCTCGTTTCAAATCCGTCCCAATTAATCAATCGAATTCAATGCTGCATTTCAATTAGTTTTGTTAATGAAGAATAAATTTAACTATTTTTTGTTGTATTTTAATTATTATGTTTAAAGGGATGTGCCGGAAGAGGTCTACAGAAGCTTGGATGCTGCTGGGGAAGGTGAAAAGTGGTGGGAGGTAATTTAATTCAAATTTATGTTTTTAGGTAAATCATGAAAAATCTCTTAATTTTAAGCTTAATTTAAATGTTCTCATGTTGCTTTGGTGGGTTTTTTTTTTTTTTTTTTATGTAAAGGCTGTGGAGCTACAAAAGCTAATTTTGGCACATAACAATATTGAGTCATTGAAAGAAGACCTGAGGAATTTACCTTTATTGAATGTGTTGAATGTTAGCCACAATAAGCTTACTGATCTTCCGGCTGCGATAGGACAGTGAGTTGTTTTTGAAACTTTGAAATCTGTTACTTTTGTTTTGGTTTTATCTAGTTCTGCCGGACAATTTTCAATGTGTGATTTTATTTTTCTGCTAATTTTATAGGCTTTCCATGTTGAAGTTGTTGGATGTGTCTTTTAACTCTATAGTGGCAATACCGGAGGAGATTGGCTTAGCAACTTCTTTGGTCAAGTAAGCTCCTCTTTATCTCTCCCAAGTATTTCAAATAAATAACAGTTGGCTGGCTTTCTTTGTTGTTGCAATCTTATTAGTTTTGTGATGCTAATAGCATTTTCGCATTTGTATGCTTGTGTTAAGTCATTCATATATTTTAATGGCTGTATGCATTGACACTGAAAAAGAAATTGATAAGTCGTGTTGCCTATCTTCTATGATCATTTTATCTGCTGTTTCCTAATGCTTGAGATGAATTAGATGTCCATTTTATTTTGTTTTGGGGAGAATCATATCATGATTTCTTTTTTAATGAAGAAAAGAGTTGGAAGTTTAATTTAGTGTCTGATCATTGTTTTGTGACAATTCCAGGTTTGATTGTTCAAGCAATCATATTAAGGAACTTCCATCCTCACTTGGAAAATGTGCAGATTTATCAGATCTAAAGGTATTGCATTAATACACTGGGCTATTTATGTGGGAGGTGTGTATGTAATATTTTGTTGACCGAACTTTTCTATTGACTGATCATCATAGTTGTCCTTGTTTATCTTTTAATGCCCTTTAAGAATCAGCTTTCCAGATGAGTTTTGCCACCTGCTGTTTCACCTGTATAAACACCTTTATCTTTGAATGCATTTCCCATCCCCATTAATAATGTATAAATTCTATTATAAAGCTGCAAATATTTTTGGACTAGCTTATCTAAAGTGAAGAGATTCGAGGAAAATTAGGTGTAGTTTGAATTGAGGAAAAGATGAGAGAGGGCCGTTTGAGATGGTCGGGATATGTGAAACATAGGCCTATCTGTTCATCAGTTAGGAGAGACCAAAACTTCTAGAGGTAGACCACGAAAAACGTGGATACAAGTAATAAGAAACGACACGAGGGTTAAGAAAATAGGTGAAAAAGTTGTTGTTGATAGAAATGATTGGCATAAGAAGATTCAAAACTACAACCTAACATGATTTCTTTTTTGGCCTTTCATACAACCAACGCCAAAGTTATGAGATATAAAGCTTAGTTTGTTGTTGTTGTTGTTGTTCTCTGAATTTCCTTTAACATAATCTCTCTTTGTTAACTTTATCGTTGTTGGTTAGTTTCAATCTCAAATATGTGTCTCATTTGTGTTTCACAGCAATTTTTCCAACTTCTGTTATGAATGGATGCTAAGGTGATCTTCAAAAAAGATTTCATGCTCTTTTACAATATCCTTTTCAATCACTATCATGTTGTAAAGTGTAAATATAGTACCTATGCTTGTTTGGTAGTCGTTCATCAATTACATTCTAGAGATTATCATAGCTTATAATTAAGAATGGCATTTTATGATGTGCTAACTTGTCATGAAATTACTAGTTTCAGACATTCAACTTGCTTTATTTAGTATCATCTATGGTCCTTAACCGGCTGCTTCTCTCTCTCTCTTTTTTGTAGGCATCAAATAATGTAATAACTAGCTTGCCAGAAGATCTTATGAATTGTTTGAAATTGATGAAACTAGATGTGGAGGTATTAGTAAAAACAATTATTTTTGTACATTGTGATTACTGTGGAGCATCTTTATGGGGGCTGCTGTTGTAATTAATTATCATTAATGATGTGTTTTGGGGGTTAATTTTTGTTTATTTTCTAATTGCGTCAGGGGAACAAGCTAACGGTTTTATCTGAGAATTTGTTCAGATCATGGACGATGCTTACAGAACTCAATGCATGTAATATTTTGCTGTTATGCAATTTTCCAGTTATACGAATAATATTTTAAATCTCACATTGTAAACAGAAATTTTGACATCTGTGCAGCAAAGAACTTGCTGAGTGCCATACCAGAAAACATTGGATGTCTTTCACGTCTCGTCCGTCTCGACCTTCATCAGAACAGTGAGCGAAATACTGAGTTATGTTAGAAATTAGCCTTACTTTTGTACTAAATGGTGAGTCACACAGCTACTGAATGATGCAGGAATTTTGTCAGTCCCACCATCAATAATGTTGTGCTGTTCCCTAGCGGAATTCTATATGGGGTCATATTCTTGCCCACTGTTTACATGATATATTTATATGGTTATCTAAAAGTTTCGCACTTGTGATTGTCATCTGTTATTTGTCACCTCACATTTTCAGGAATAATGCACTGTCAATGTTACCAGAGGAGCTAGGTGCTCTTTCTCATTTAGGGACATTGGATCTTCACTCAAACCAGGTAGCTATTTCAATCTCTTTTGCCTTCATGTAAATTGCAGTTACTGTTTTGGAAAGAAAGCTTACTTTCATACATTGTCTGTTATGATAGCCTGCAACGGTACTTTTTATAGTACTTTTTTGCTCAGCTTTAATTGAAAGAAATTTGTTCTGAAAAATTTGTTCTTGCAAGTTCCTTAAACTAATTATCATATTTGAACTAACTATTGGTCAGGCTGCTGGATTGGTGACCTGATTGTGTGACTGGTATGGTTCTTTAATAAGAAAATTGTAATGAAATGAATATAGATCAAACATGGTTAACGTTTGGCCCAACTGGATTTGTTTTCAGTATATAGAGAAAATTATAAATAAATGGACTCTGGCTCTTTCTGCCCATTACAAGCTGTGCACTCATGAAAGGTCATTTAGATATCTCAAAACTAATTTAATTAAACTCCATACAGCTGTAGTACGTGATTAGGTGCCCAGCCTTCTGTTGACTCTGCCTTACTCTGCCTATTACAAACCGTACACTCATGAATGGTCATTTAGATATATCAAAACTAATTTAATTAAACTCCATCTGGCTGTAGTACATGATTAGGTGCCCACTATTTTGTTAATCCCTGCTGAAGATAAATATTATACCAACATTTTAGCAGTACATAGATGCAATGGCTGCTTTTTGTTTTGAACGTGTTACATCTACTTTGCAGTTGACTAACCATCAATCCAATAACTGATTCATGCTTCATCCTGATTTCTTAGCTGTGTTGAATGCGTGTTTAGGATGTCTACGGTGGAAGTAATTATGTGAAGACAACATGTTTCTTTGGGCCTTGAAGTTTTTTGGGTCTTGTGACACCGTTGTCAATGTGAATGAAGAAAATAAACATACTTTGTTTTGGTCACTGTTATTTATTAGTTTATATGTTACAAAAGTTAACTAATATGTTACAAAATTAAATGTAATGTATGCATGTGATCATTTGTTTTATACAGTTATTTCACCATATTTTTTGTGTGCTCTTGTGTTTATCTTCTTTTGGTCCTAAAAATAGTCTGAATCTTACTAAATTGGAACTGCATACTGATTAGTTCAAGTGCATGCAGTTGAAGGAATATCCAGTAGGAGCATGCAAGTTATGCCTATCAGTTCTGGATCTTTCTAATAATTCATTGACTGGATTGCCTGCTGAGCTTGGTAAGGTTAGCAAATTTAGGATCATTAATTATTCAATTCTGACAAATCTTTATTAGGAATGCATGGCACATGATGCTCTCATGATGCAACAAAAGCATAGTTTTTACTGACCATATCTTCTTTTTTTTTTTACTTCCCTCATTTACATTTAGGTGGCAAAAACAATGTAAATTTGTTTGGCTCTTTGATATTCATGATGAATGTATTTTACTCAATCTAATTTGTCATTCTGCCTAGGCAAGATGACTACACTGCGAAAACTTTTGCTCAGTGGAAACCCTTTGCGAACTCTAAGAAGGTCTGAGGCATTGAGGGAGTTATTTGTTGTATAAGTTAAGTGCTCTAGTTTGTCATGGCTTTATCAACTGATTTTTTTTTCCCTGCAGTTCACTGGTTTCTGGACCTACACCTGCTTTATTGAGATATCTTAGAAGTAGACTTTCTGATGGTGAAGGTAGATTTATTTTCAATGCACATTCAACATAATATCCTTTTATTTTATAGTCTTTATCTGGCATCTCTCTTACTTCCTCCTCCTTGCTGCTGTGAGTGTTTATAATTTTGATGAAATTTCAAATTGCCATGATTTCTGGTTCTCTAGCATATCTTATTTCAAGTAAGTAATGATGAAGCTTTTGTTGTAGATGAAGCTAAAGCTCCTGCCAGAGAGGAAGTAGTCACTATGGCAGCTCGATTGTCACTCACTTCAAAGGTATTTCTTTTTGCTATATCAACTTAAAAATTAGTTTTGAGATTTGACTCTGATCTTCTATTGGAGTCAACTGTCTATTTTGTTTGTGATCTTATTACTCTAGATGTAGAACCTTATAGGTAGTTTCAACTAATTACTACCATCCACCCCTGTCTGAGGATATTGGCTTATACTTTTCTTTTCATTGGAGCGTGGTTTGCATTACTGGATGCATGGATCCAGAAATATGAAGCATCTTACGAAATTGTGAATTTGAATTACTGCTTAAATGGAAGATTGATTTTCAAATTCTATAGCTAATGTTATCTCAAATTCATATAAGCACTAAGTTTTATTAGTTTCATGTATTGTCCATGTCATTTTCAACTATCCAAATCCAAATTCACTCTCTAAGTTCTTCACATTCAATTTAACAATTAACATTTTTTGTACATGTATTTTCAGGAACTTTCTCTAGAGGGCATGGGTTTAAGTGTTGTCCCATCCGAAGTATGGGAATCAGGTGAAATCATAAAAGTAAACCTTTCCAGAAATTCCATCCAAGAGCTGCCACTTGAACTCTCCTCATGTTTATCCCTTCAGGTATTTGCTCTCTAGTTATCATTTCTTCTATAAGTATAGACTTTGAGTCCAATGAAGTAAAATAACATTTGCATCCATGTTTGTGAATTGAGATAATAGACATTAATATTGTTGCTTGAAGTTTGCAAAGGACTATTGCTTGTGAGATCAATTCTGTAGGCATGAAGTTTAGAGTTCATCCTTGATGTATTTTGTATGATCTCTGTCTGACTTTTAACCAATGACAGATTGGCTTGGTGGGAAGCAGATTGTTCTTGCTTTCTTAAATTGTTATCTGGTTTAATTGATGATCTGTGACTCTCTGGTAACTCATATTTAAATGTGCAGACTTTAATTTTATCAAGGAACAATATTAAAGACTGGCCAGTTGCAATTTTGAAGTCACTTTCCAATCTTTCTTGTTTGAAGCTGGACAATAATCCACTAAGACAGGTAAGCAGGTTTGAATGATGATTCTGTCTTGTACAATATACATAAGATCATGTGGAAGAAACATGGAATTAAAAGTGTTTTGAAAAAATTTCTTCTCACTCAAATATTCTTTTTCATGTGTCTTCTAATCCTTAACTGTTGAGGGACCGATGCATGCTTGTGCACAGATAAAATATTCTAATTCATGATTGCCTCCTATATATGTGGCCAATAAAATATGCCCAATAGGTTACTGAATTCTATGTTCTTTCAATAATAGATCATCAATATAAAGTGGCTTATGCATCAGATAATTGGATTGATAGGCACCATAATCTCTGTCTAAGAACATTGAAATCATCAATTATTGTGGGATTGGTCATGTGTTAAGACATTTAAACTGCTGCAATAGGTTGTATATTTCAATTCTTTGCTGCTAAGCTAGGTTGGCCATACGTAAAACTTTCAGGGGAATACGAGGACATATGAAACTAATACCGATAATTGTTTCTGTATCTCAACACATGCATGTTCCTATTTCCAACTGTATGAGCTGAACTATCTCTTACTTACTTGATTATAGATTCCATCCGATGGATTCCAAGCAATCTCTATGCTCCAGATACTAGATCTAAGTGGGAATGCTGCTTCATTACCAGAGAATCCGGCATTTTCCAGCTTACCACACTTGAAGGAGCTTTATTTGAGGTTGGTGTTCTGAAAGTAATGAGATGCATGTCCACATGCAAAAGTACAAACATATTGATTTGTTTTTCTTGGCAATTTCTACATAATGATCTGTGTTTTATTATTATTATTATTATTTTCAACATTTGCTATTTGTCTTACTTCTATGTTGACTTGACAGACGAATGGAACTACGAGAAGTCCCATCAGAGATAATGAGTTTATGTCAACTGCAAATCCTGGACTTGGGCCAAAATTCCCTTCAATCAATCCCAGAGGTGAATATTCTCTTTTAAGCTGAGCCACTTGTTATGAATTCTTCTTACAAATAAGTTTTGCACGACTTTGATATTTGGCATAAACTGACTTAACTAACGGTTTATGTAGTAACATCCACTATATAACTGCTATAACTACTTGTTTTCTCTATTGATCACATATGAATATTCTTACAGTTATCTGAAGTTGAAACTTTGTCTAAAATTCATTTTATTGAGTGACAAAATTTATTTAGTGGCCCTTCATCCCTAGTTTGCAGTGGTTTGTATAAATATCATCTGGAAAGAATTATAGCTTTCCACCTAAGGCTTTCACATGCTACAAAAAAGAAGGTTATGTTTCTTATATCCCACTTTGTAATTGTGGTGTATGAATATCAATCAGCTTGTTAATACTGGATTGGCCCAAACATGTTAAGGTTTGTACTTTGTACCAAGACATATACCACATGTTTCGTGTTGTTGATGCTAATTGTTGGCCTGCATCAAATCTTTTTCCCTCTGTTGTTCTACCTTGTGACACATCAACTGTCATTTAGTCTATCCTTTGTCGTGATTCATGTGCAGGGACTTAAGACCCTTACATCTCTCACTGACCTGGACTTGTCTGACAATAGCATTTCAGCA